ACCAAGACGAGGTGGCAAGAACCACCAGGAAGATGGGAACAGCAGCAGAGCAGCCCACTTCTGGTCTCCGGATCTCAGCAGCAACCTGGCGGGCCTGATTTCAAAATGCCAAAATTTTTGAGTGGTAAGCGAAATTTCGATAAATGCGAGATTTCAGAAATTTCCTATTCTTCGCGACGGCTGCCATCGTTTTCTCTAGGAGCCGCAGCTGAGTCGCAAGGCCTGGACCGATCGCTAGGCCTCGTGTCCCATTTTTTCCCCTTGTTTTCAGGCTGCTAGAATCTGCAGCTGTTTTGCGCAATTTGTCATGCAATTGTTGCTGGACCACTCTTTGCCCATGTCGTGGTTCTCAATCGGGATAGTGGTCGAGCCTTGAGAGGATGAGCTCAAAGAAATTTACATCAGAAAGTATGTTGCGGCAAAATAGTCTTTTCTGGTCCCACTTAATGGCAACTAACGGTGAACTTGGAATTGGTAGAAAAGGCAAGAAATTTAAGGTGGATTGAATTTTCTACTTCCCTTTTTCGGATTGAATTTTCTACTTCCCTTTTTCGGTGTAGCTGATTTTGGACAGTTCTCCCATAGCAGTAAATCCCACAAGTTCGCCAGAAACTGATCTGAAGTCTAAAGTCCAAGGCCCCTTCCTAACTTTTTCTAGTATACACGTACATCACAACTACGACAAATGGCGGTACAAGGTTTAGAGGCCGGAGCAATCCCATGTAGTAGGGCTCAGGCACTTGGAGCCAACTACATGACATATATTACCGACATGCTAGCGCTCGAACATCTGATCCGGGGTGCTAGTGTCAGATGGTATCTGCTCAGCGAGAGAGCAAGCCAGTGGTGGGCCAGCGCTGCCCCCGGGCGTCGCCTGTGCCGCCAGTCGCTTCCCACGTGCATCCCATGTGCAAGACCTGATCTACTTATGAAATGTCCATATGCAACAGTTGCAACATACAAAATAAGACGGATGAAACATTTGAAACATGCGTCTACAACACTTGAAAAAACACCTAAAAACACTTAGAAAAATTGCAAACATATGCAACATCCAAACGAAATAGTCGCAACAGTAGTATGAAACACCTGAAACACTTGAAACATACGCTTGCAACATGCATGTATATGCAACATCCAGATCAACGTTTGCAACATCTAGATGAAAACACTTGCAACATACATCTGATACAAATAAAACATTTGGAACATACACTTGAAACATACGTACATTGCCATTGCAACACGTCAAACATTCCAATCTACTTTTGCAACATCCTGATTTACTTTTACAACACCGATACGAAAAACATGCAACATACCTCTAAAAAATTTGAAACACCTAAAACATATGTTTGCATCATGCGCTTTCAGCATAAGATCACCTTGCTGCTTGGGAATGGAGGCTCGTCAGCGTGTGGAGTTCACTAGTTTAGAGCTCGCCGGTGGCACGGATCAACTGCCCCAGGGGAGCGATAGCCGTCGAGCACGGTAGTCAGAGTGGAGCCACCCTTCGTTTCTTTGAGCCCGACAATGGAGCTTCATGTCATCGACGAACCGACCAAGGACACCATAACCTTGGAGTGGACTGGGCAGGGGGTAGTTGTGGACTGGCCAGGGGTGTGCGATGGGCGGCGTCCTGAGCGTAGCCGCCCTCAATTTCTTTGAGCCCAGCGATGGAGCTTCACGTCTGATGCGCGGTTGCGGTGGAACATGATTGCAGCGCTGTTGTGGAGAGCCTTCTGGAGAATGGAGACAATAGGATAAAGTTAGAGGCAAGTGGACAAGAGGATACGACTGTTGGGCCATTGGGCTAGTGCTACGACCTACGAACGCGACCGTCCGGACAATCAGTCGCCCTAACGAGAGCATTTTCCGCATATAATATGGCGAGACGGCTTCTCTGATCCGCCCATGATCGATGACCATCTACATCTACACGCTCAAAATGTTAACGATAATGATACACAGCGGGTGTCCGTACCTTACTCGCCCGAACCCGACCCACCTATGCCGCACGCCGCCTTATCCTTTCCTCAACCACTTACTCCGGCAGCGCTCGCGCCTCTCCCATTCTACGCCGCGCCTATGCCCAACTCACTACAGCCCTGCCCGCGCCACGCTCTGGGCCTGCTAGTGGCCCCAGGACAGACGCCACACCCACGCCCAGCTCTCGCTGCCGCCCCACCCGCCAACGCTCCCTCCCTCACCCCTCTGCGACCTCCATTGCTACCCCACGCCACTAACGACCCGGCTCCCACTCCCTCCCACCTGAGACGAGGACGACGGTGACGGCTCCGACGAGGTAGGTCGGTCGTCCTCTGGATCTGAGCTCTCCTCCTCCTCCTCTGGATCTGAGCCCTCCCCTTCCTCCTCCTCCTCCTCCTCCTCCTCCTCCTCTAGATCTGAGGGACGAGGCGGTGGCTAGGGTTATGCCGAGCTCTGGGGTCCTATTCCTTCCTTCCTCCTGTGAGCTTGAAGGTGATGGGCCAGGGGCTAGAGCAACCTACACCTTGACCCATCCCCTTGTTGTTTGTACTCCTTGTTGTTTTCTCAGTGTTGCAAGGGGATTGTTGGGATGTTGCAACAGATGATTTGTGAATGTTGCAAATAGGTGATTCATGTGTTGCAGAAAGAGAGTTCTATTGTTGGGAGTGTATTTTTTCCCCTAATGTTGCAACTTGTGAGTTTTAAATTTTTTCTACGTGTTGTGCCAAGCGATTTTAATTGTTGAAATTACCTTTTTCAAATGTTGCAGCACTGAAAGGTGATTTGAGATGTTTTCCATTCGCATGTTTCATGGTTGATTTTGCGATGTTGCAGTACTTCCGAAACGTTATGAAAATTTTTATATAACATAGATGTATGCTTCAATGTTAATTCTTCCAATCTCGTGATTTATCGAGTTCGATTTTAATTATTACAATTAAATTTACATGGTATGTACCTAATTTTCATAAAGAATGAAAATTTTGTGAAATATAGTAAATAAATCGAAATAAACACCATATTTTGGAATTGAGTACTAAATATCATATGTGGATAGAGGAAAAAGAACGAAGGGAAAAACAAGAAATTTGGTTGAATTTTACCGAGTGTTGGGCCAATACACTCGGTAAAAGATAGTGTTTACCGAGTGTTGTGCACTTACACTCGGTAAAACTTTATTATTACCGAGTGCAAATACTTCTACACTCGGTAAACATGTCATGCCGTGACGCCGTTTGGCGCACGGTTGCTATACTAGGTGACGTGGCACCTCAATACCGAGTGGCTGTTTTTACCGAGTGCGCCCCTTCGATAAACTTGTAGTTTTACCGAGTGTCTGAAGTTACCGAGTGTGCTGACTCGGTAAAGCGATCTATTACCGGGTGTTTATGTGTTCCGAGTGTTAGCACTCGGTAAGTAATGTTTTCTGAGTGCCCCGACTTTTGACACTCGGTAATTGTTGGGGCACTCGGTAACTACACAGTCTCCGGTAGTGATTCGAACTCACGACCTCTCTCTCGCGTGTCTGCTGCTCTACCACTACACACACTGTCACTTGTGTCTAAATTCCGTTATCTATCCTCATATATTATACTAAACCGAGAGTAAATTGCTTGTTTGAGGCCATAAACGAATTCAAATCAAAAAACGGTCAACTACAAAGTTTCATAACTTTTCGAGATCTACAATTTTCATTTAGGAAATTTTTCCATCCGAGGTCGTTTGAAAAATTCGAATTTCAAATTTGAGAGATTCAAACGTAGTTTTGCATGATAAGATGATTTCAAATCAAAAAGTTGTCAACTACATAGTTTCATAACTTTTGGAGATCTATAATTTTCATTTAGGAAGTTTTTCCATCCGAGGTCTTTTGAAAAATTCAAATTTTAAAATTTTCAAATTCAAACGTCGTTTTTGCATGACAAGATGATTTTAAATCAAAATATTGCCAACTACAAAATTTCATAACTTCTCAAGATCTACAAAGTTTATTTTGGTCATTTGTTCATCTGACATAGTGTTAGTAATATTGTTCACAAATCTTATATATCTCTTCTACTTTTATGAAACTAATATGAGAGATGTAGATTTTATGAACAACGTTATTGTCGCTTTGTCAAATGAAGAAATGACCAAAATAAACTTTGTAGATCTTGAAAAGTTATACAACTTTGTAGTTGAAAATTTTTTCATTTGAATTCATTTAGGGCCTCAAAAATTGCTTTGAAAAACTGATTTGCCGAGGGTCAAAAAAAATGCACACGGCAAAATGCCTCTTTGCCGAGTGCCAAAATAAAGGCACTCGGCAAAATACATCTTTGCCGAGTGCCAGAAAAAAGACACTCGGCAAAGACGCATTTTGCCGTGTGCCGAAAAATAGCACTCGGCAAAATACATCTTTGCCGAGTGCTAGAAATTTGGCACTCGGCAAAATACATCTCATTCTCTGTATATGGTGACGATCCTGATCGATGATTATATAACAGAATGATGACGATCCTGATGACCATATATGTCAATGTCTGTATGTGCTCAAGGTCGATGCATATAACAGAATGTGTTTGGTAGAGCTAAATATATATTGTGCACATCGGTTTCCATAAGCAGCTGATGACAATCTACAAGTAGTACTTACTGTTGTCATTTATTCTATGTGTTCATGCCATTGTCAGAGTCTTCCAAGTGGAAGATATCAAAGTAATTTAGCCTCTAGATCTTCAACTATAAATAGTTTTGCAAGTTTGAACATGACTATTCAAGCTCATCCAGCAGCTCTTAATTAGATATTTACTCAGGCTATGCATTGGTTATCAGTGCTCAGGCTCAGATCCAAGGGTGCAATGCAAGTCCTAACATTACTCTTAATATTACTAGCCTCACTGTCCTGTTCGGCGGCGGCACCACCGTCCGGCTACCGCTCCACGCTCACCCATATTGACTCCCATGGCGGCATCACCAAGGCAGAACTCATGAGTCGAGCTGCACACAGAAGCCGGCACCGAGCGTCCACGATGCTACCGCGTTATTCGACAATGTCTACCAGCTCGAACGCTGGCCCCGCCAGGCTCCGCACCGGCCAGACCGAGTACCTCATGGAGCTCGCCATCGGGACGCCGCCGGTGCCGTTCGTCGCCCTGGCCGACACCGGCAGCGATCTCACCTGGACGCAATGCAAGCCGTGCAAGCTCTGCTTCCCGCAGGACACGGCCATCTACAACACCGCCGCCTCGTCAAGCTTCTCTGCCGTGCCGTGCTCCAGCGCCACGTGCCTGCCCATCTGGAGCCGCAACTGCACGGCTAGCTCACCCTGCAGGTACCGATACGCCTACGGCGACGGCGCATACTCTGCTGGTGTCCTGGGCACGGAGACGCTCACGTTCGGCTCTAGCCCTGGTGCGCCTGGAGTCTCCGTCGGCGGCATCGCGTTTGGTTGTGGCATCGACAATGGCGGCCTCTCGTACAACTCCACCGGCACCGTCGGCCTGGGCCGTGGGAGCCTGTCCCTCGTGGCGCAGCTTGGGGTCGGCAAGTTCTCCTACTGCCTCACCGACTTCTTCAACACCAGTCTAGGCAGCCCAGTGTTGTTCGGCTCCCTTGCCGAGCTGACACCCATTGGCAGCGCTGCCGTGCAGTCGACGCCGCTCCTGCAGAGCCCGTTCAGCCCGTCGAGGTACTACGTCTCCCTCGAGGGCATATCGTTCGGCGATGCACGCTTGCCGATCCCGAACGGCACCTTCAACCTGCGCGCCGACGGCTCCGGGGGCATGATCGTGGATTCCGGCACCATCTTCACGAAACTCGTGGAACCTGGTTTCAGGGTGGTGGTCGACTACGTGGCCGGCGTGCTCGGCCAGCCGGTGGTGAACGCCTCCAGCCTAGACAGCCCATGCTTTCCGGCTCCGGCCGGTGAACCGGAGCTCCCGGCCATGCCGAACATGGTGCTGCACTTCGCCGGAGGTGCAGATATGAGGCTGCATAGGGACAACTACATGTACTTTGACCCGGAATCGTCGTCGTCCTGCTTGAGCATTGCAGGGTCCTCGTCGGCTTCTTCTTCCGTTCTGGGCAATTTCCAGCAGCAGAATATACAGATGCTGTTTGACATCACCGTAGGGCAGTTGTCATTCGTGCCCACCGACAGTAGTAAGCTCTGAAATTATGTGATACTATCTTTTGTATATACATAGCTTTTGTTATACATCTAGATATACACTATAAGTCGTTTTGGCTTTTCTAAAATACATTGCTTTTGCTGTGCAGTTAGATATACACCATTTCTATATGATACAAGAAATGTATTTAGAAAAGCACAAAACATATTATAATTTGGAATGGAGGGAGTACAATTTAGAACGGAGAAAATAAATGATAGTCAGCGCATTGCTGTGGGACGAGAGGATAGAAAATCATATCAAGAACCAAATTTGGAGATGGAGTCGTAGTAGTAGGATATATAACTTCTTGCTGTGAGGATGGGCATATATGTTTACTATGGCAATGGCTTGGCATCTAGATCTTACATGATTCCTTGACCATGCAGTGTTCAGTTTTATCTTGGTTAGGCAAAGGTCACACACTGAAAACTGAGCTATACATGTTGTATAGAATGGCACCAAGATCTAAAAAGATCCCTACAAGTTAGTTATCTCAGCGTTTCCTCCTTGCTGCTAAATATATCTGCATATATATTCAGGCACTAAAAACGATTATATAGAAAAATAAAATGGCAAAAACGAATTGTACAGTATCACTCTACTAGGTGAAAATGGAGTCTCCCGGTCTAGAGTTGCAATCTGGATATAAAGCTGCATTTAATATTTCTAATTTCAAATGTTATGTTCATACGTACACTGACCTGCAATATATTTTTAACAGTTGTCTATATGAGAAGATCATACCCTTTCGGCTTCCCGCCCCCGAGCTGCTCCTCGCACAGGGCAACAGGGGCGGAACCCAATACCTAGCAGCCCCGCCACACATCATCCTGGCCGCGTCACTGCCAGAGCATCGTGCGAAAGCTAGGATGGCGGCGGTGGCTATATCTACTTTGTCATGGGGCTTTCTCTTTCTTGATGTCTCTAGAGAATTCATCCCCGTTCTTGTAGTCTTCGGTAGCAGCAGCTCCCAGGCCGGCCTATGCGGGCGGCAGCCGGATTCAGCACCAACATGCTTAAATCCAGTGATTCCAGTATTTGTGGTGGTTTGCGTGCAGATCTGCCTGGGGGCGTCACGGGAAGGGCAAATAAGAGGTGCAAGTGATTCATGTATTCCTCGTGCGGGCATATGGTGTTAACTCTTCAAAGGAAGCTATAGCGTCTTTATGTCTCCCATGCCGTGCAACATCGATGTATTTTGGGGAGGCGGTGCTAGGGCAACTCTGATTTGATGCATTTCGTGATCAGTTGGTGTAGGATCTGATGTGTGTCCACCGCTAGATTGACCGCCCTGCCCAGCCATCTGTGTCAGATGGAGGTGGAGTCAATCATGTGGTAGTCTGATCCAAAGTTCCTGAGCTCAGATATGCTTTTTTTGAGGAAAAGCTCAGATATGCTTGGTGGTGGTGATCTGCTCATTGGTGATGCATAAGTGTCACGTGATGGCTTCGGCGGGAGTTATGGACAAGGTGCAACACTCCCAAGGTAGTGGTAGTCGACTGTTTCTATGCGTGGATACGTGGTGGGCTGCTGTGGAGGTGCTAGCGAAAGCCTTGACGTTGTTCCTACTTCCTACCAGACTCGACAGTGGCAATTCCTTCGGGTGTTGTTTTCCTTCTTAGAGGTGTTATGATCAGGGTTGAAAGCGGTCGAACTCGGTCGGGATAACCCCAATATTGTTTTCACTTTTACATTTCAATACGAAAACAAAATCGAATTCGGGAAGGTCGGAAACAAACACGAAAACGAACTAACGGGATATCGAAAACGAACTAATTCGATCGGAAACATGTCGAACACGGTCGGAATACGAAAAGCAAAACGGAAACACTGGCCCGTAGAACCTAGTTGAGCATGACAACATGCCAACAGTCCGGTACCAATACAACCACACATGGTCATGCACAATTCACTTATACACATACATTGATACACAAATCACTAATTCACCATGACAATTGATAAATAGGCAACAGGTCTAAATATTTAGAGACATTTGGGCTAGCCAACAGGTTATATTTTAGCAGAACTTTCCATGGCATCTGGATCACTTCCCATGTCTTCTAGTTCCTCAGTTTCCTCTTCATTCCCCTCATTGATTTCTTCCTGCTGCAAGTTGGCAAGTTGCCATTGTGAAGAAAAGCAGTATAACAGTGAGTAAGGATCAATGAAAGGACTAACAACCAGTAAAGATATGCATAATCTAAAATGACCAAATGAAAATATACCTCAAACTTAAGCTTATTAACCATTGCATTAGACAATGCCTCCACTTCAAGATCACTCACAATTGATCCAACATTTTTAGAATCTGAATACAAAAAGAAAGATATGAAATCAGTCCATTTTCAAGTGCAAATATAAGTTTGTAACTGAAAAGTACGTACAGAAGTACAGATCATCACCTTTTCTTGCTGCAGCTACCCAATCTTTGGTGCAAATCAATGCCTCTACAATCTCAGGGTCAAGGCGATTACGGTAGGGATCAACAACACAACCAGCAGCACTAAAAGCAGACTCGGATGCAACAGTCGATACTTGTATTGCCATCACATCATGAACAATCTGTGTAAGGATAGGATAGTCTTCCCTCTTGTTCTTCCACCAAGCTAAGATGTCAAACTGACCAGCAATTTTCTGAAGAGGTTCGGCCATGTACTTCTCCAACTCATTTGACTCAACCATACCAGGTTCACTTGCAGAATATAAGAAGTTTTCAAGGTCTTCATCTACATCGCCCATTAATATATCTGTTGCATTACTAGGTCCAGTTCTGCTACTTTTCTTCTTTGATGTTGCATTAGCCGAACTAGCATAAAACTGATACAACTTCTTTATCACACTAACAAACTCATCAAGTTTAACTTGATACTCATCACCATAGAACTTCCTCATGTAGTATTCAATAAGCTTTTTCTTATATCTAGGATCAAGAAAACAAGCTACAGCAAGAGCAATGTTGGACTGCTGCCAATATTTCTCAAACTTTTCATTCATTGCAATTGCCATTGCACTAATTGTGGCATCATCACTAAAGCACCATTCATCAAGCATGGGTTTTATATCACAGAAACCTTTGTAAAACAAATTTGCAGTAGGATATGAAGTACCGGACAGAATTTCAGTGAGGTCATAAAATTTCTTCAAGCATTGATAAAGTGTAAATGCCTTGTCCCATTCAGCAGGTGAGGGAGACATTTTGGCATACCTACTACGATTTGCCTCACGTCGCGGGGAGCCGGCCAGCTGGGGGCGGGGGCGGGGTCGCGTCTAGGGGGGGAGGCGGCCGGCCAGGCCAAGCGGAGACAGACGAGGCGGGGCGGGCGCGTCTCTCGTCGAGGGTGGAGGCGGCCGGCCAGGCCAAAGCGGAGACGGCAGGCAGGGGGGGGGCGGGCGAGGCGTCTTGCGCCGAGCCATCGGGGGGGCAGCCGCTGGGTAAGAAGTAAACCCTATCTTTGTTGGGCTGGGCCGCTGGCTGCTCGAGTTGATGGCTACTCAAGTTGGGCTGGATAAGAAGTAAATTCGGAATGTCCGCTTTGCGTATACAGGATATCCCGAAATAAAAACGGGATATGCGAAAACGATCGGGATAGGGCACAAACCGATTTCACCCTGATTTCGAATTTCGTGTCCCGTTTTCCGTACCGATTCTGTTTTTGTCCGAAAATACGAATACGATCGGGTTAAATGTAGAAATCAGGGCGGAACGGAACGGGATATATCCCGACCGTTTTCAACCATAGTTATGATGGCACTGCAAAGCTCTCCTATGCACAGATGTCCACGTGAAAACCTGGCCTCGTATTTTCAGGTGGGCGACATCGGTGACTCTCGTCATTTTCCTACATGGGGTCATCCACCTTAGAGGTCCATCTTCACGAAAAGTTGATCGACGGATCGTCAAGCTTGGAACTTGTGCAAGATATTTTGCATGTGGTCTTCACTCGGAGAAGACATTGGCTTGCAGGAGGCTGTCAGAAACCCAAATCGGATTCTCTCACAAATCGAAATTACAGCAATAATCAAAGTAGCTAGTAGCTTCTAGAAGGTTCTGGATACAACTTTGAGGTACTGGGAGAGGGAGGAAGGAAGGAAGGAAGAAGAAAGATAAATCGAGTCAGAGACTCGCCTCGAGCGTGAGCTCGCCGCCGGGTTCCTGGTCTGTTCTTCGACGACTCCTCCACTTGACCTGCTTCTGTATTTGTTTGTGCTGCCGTGGCTTCCTTCTTGGGCCAGGACAAGTCTGGTGCTAGAGCCCACTCGCTTCTCCAGCCTGCTAGCCGGCCCGGCCAGCCCATGAGGTGCCTGACATACATCCCTCCTTGAAACATGGCTTGTCCCCAAGCCGTGGTAGAGATATCCAAAACAAACTCAAAACCACCAGGATCCCATGGCACTTGCAAGTCATTGGTGTTTAGTGTCAATCTGACATCATTCCAGACCGGTATATGTGACGTGCTTCCCTCCTTGTAACACGGCTTGTCCCAAAGCTGTCTCAGAAATAGCAAGCAGATGTGTTCCAAATCTCCAGGATCCCAAACCCAAACTGATGTCGAAAACGAAACAATATTGAGATGGTGACCACCTGGATCCCAAAGCACTTGGATATCTGGCCAGTCATCCTTGGTCATCAGTAAGCCATGCTGATACTGGGCAATGATCTGAATTTTAGGGAACTGCACATCTATCTGAAACACCAACTTGCATTTTGTATCCTCAGCAAGAAGATTTTGGTGATTCTTGTTCCCAAGTGCTGCATATGGCGCAAGCCACAATTGGAAGTGAAACCAATGCAGACTAGAGTTGTGAATGGTGCACTTGTTCAGCACATTCAGTAGCATCCAATTCCACATATACACTATTGTTTCTACGTGCAAGCTGAGAGCAAACCATGCTGTCACTCCGAGCAGCATTCCATCAATCAGTGATACTTGCTCACACCATTTCCCATCCTCTACAATATATAATAATCTCTTCATGTCATATATAACCCATTGGCT